TTTCTACTTGCAAAGATGTCCTTAGCATGTATCTAAGAGTCGGAAACAGGAAGCATATGGACATGAGTATAAAGAGTAGGGGGCAAAGGATATTTAGGCAGGAACAAGCATGTATATATCATCTGTAATTATGTATTTATGTACGCATCAAATGCGGACAAATAATGCCTTCGATCACGAAAAAGAAACACACGAATAGGAAAGAACATCTCCATGATCAGGATTGAGGTTTACAACCATCCCGCCCCAATTGTTTGCAGGAATGCTCAAGGTGAACCAATCAAGATCCTACGCTAGTCACTATGTAGCAAACCCAGGTCGTGTCAAGCTGTGCGTGCATTTGCTTGTTCTTCTGTTGCAAAGCGTTACCCGCTGCTTGTGGTCCGTTAGAACAAAATGCGCCTTTTGACTCACCGTGTCACGAGATGGAAAGGTAGTAGTGTCCATCTCCTTGTTGGCGCAAAACAGGAGTCATGTGATTCTCCTCAAAACAGGTCCTGGGGTCCGGTGATTCCCCTTGCCTCCGTGATTTGGGACCGCCCTCTTGATTATTACCAGGTGTCTGTGTTTCCTTTGCTTGGTGGATGCTGTGGCATGATTCTCGTGAGCGTATTCTTATCATCTGGTAGTACGGGATAGTACGGGGTTGTTTTTTGTGCAATGGGAACAGCGCAACTGGCCAAAGAGCAGCATCAGGAGAACGACACAATAAAAGCAGGCAGCAGTGCTGGCAATGCTACTGCCAGTGCCACTACGACGGCCACTTCCGACGCCACCACCAGGGCACCAAAAACCGTACTACGACTGCTACAACCAGGACGAGGAGGAGGAGGACTAATGTCTGCTACTACTCTTCCTCCTGCTGTTGCCTTTCGCCGATGCCGCGAGAGGTAGGATAGTGATAGTGCTAGTAGCCAGCAGGAGTAAAGCTAGCAACCATGCCCTGCGAGCACTTTCACCACCAGGAAAATAGTGATGTGTTGGCCATCGCTATTGGGTTGGAGGCCATTGCTGATAGGGTGGAGGCCATCGCGATGCAACTTGCCCCAGCTCTTGTCGCACAAATGGTGTGTCGTCCGGGTCTGCTGTATTGATGCCGCCTATATGCCTATGTATTTTCAAGGAGGTGGATCAATTCCACATGCACAAACACACATGAAGATTGAGTTGCACTTGTCTCGGTGGCTCTGCAGAATCTGAACACCCTGTCAAGTGAAAAGACTAACTCAAACCGTTCAACACCGTTTGCACATCATGCGCCGAGGAACCCAAATCATGCGTTGCGGCGAGATTGGGCTGATGACAAGATCTTCAAACTTGCACGCGCACTTCGCAGCGCGGTGGTGGTGCAGGAGGCTGGAAGAATACGAGGAGGTGAAATCCTGGCATCAAGAGCTAGCAGCATCTAGCCGTTGAGTCAGTCTAGTTGGCCACCCAAGCTGAAAAGAAACACGATGACACAACAAGTCTAAGTGTGCCAACACAATGGACACATGGATGGAACGAGGCCGCCCCACTCCCAAGGATCTACACGGGCACCCTCTCACACACACACACATTTTCTCTGCATCTTGCGCACAAGCAAAAATACAAATACAGCGAAAATGCTCCTAGTAGCGATGCCAGGAGCCCTAGTAGCTTCTTGTTCCTAGTAGTAAGGCCAGGAGCCCCTAGTAGTGTCAAAATTCGAGCGAGACACGGGCTTGAGTTTCAGTGTGCGGTCTGCAAAGCCATAGTGCCTGGCATCTTCAGCGGGAAGGTAGGCATCGCCCGGTCTCCGTCATGCATGTACCCGGCCACTTTGTGCCCAATCCCTAATAGCAAAAGGAGCCTAATAGCAATGGCCTCCAACATTGGCAACCTAATAGCAATGGCCTCCACCCTACTTGCGATGGCCTCCAACCTACCATTATGACAAAGCTGATTCACTGAAGACCATCGAAACTTCGTGTGAGGAGCGCGCTCAATTGTGAATCTTGAAGCAGTTCAAGGCACCTTTCCGAAAGGAATTCCCCGGTCTTGGCATGGGACATCTCTGGTCCAACCGTCCACTCGGGCCAAACTTCAAACTCTTCCACTTCCTCAGCAGTAAAGGGGGGGCTAAGGCAGAGCCCGCTTCTTCAGCTGAACAACAAAAGAGCTGGATGGTCACAAACATGAACGATGACGACCAGGAAATAGCGTCAAACTGTGGACGTCTTTCCTGTTGCCTGCACCTAATAGTGATGGCCTCCAACCTACTAGCAAATGGAACCTAATAGCGATGGCCTCCACCTGGCCTGCACCTACTAGCGATGGTCTCCACCTAATGGCGATGGCCTTCACCTACTAGCGATGGTCTCCACCTGCTTGCGACGGCCTCCACCAAATAGCGATAGCAACCAACCTAGTACAAAAAAGGGCCGGATACAGTACAAGCCCACAGTTGGCTTTATATCTGATATAGCTTTGGTGACGACAAAGCAACAGTCGATATGTAGTTATGGTCATATTCGTCGTCATCAAGCTTGTCTCTGCAGCCCTGATCACTTCTGTTATTATGAATCATTGTCATCTTAACCGCCTCCCTGTGTCGTCAATCTGTGGACATGTCTTGATCAATTTAAATCATTACTTTCCAAAGTGCAAAGTTGAATGAACACATTTTAGAGACACAACTTGTGTTTCAGTTTCATCCCATTCGTGCAGCGGGTCTGGAAACACAAAAAGGCCTTCCACATATCGCTTTGTACAAGAAAGGCGAAACCTGAACCCCTAAGCCCTTCTATCAGGAACAAGAAGCTACTAGGGGCTCCTGGCCTTACTACTAGGAGCAAGGACGCTACTAGGAGCAAAGGGCATCGCTACTAGGAACAAGGGCCTTACTACTAGGAACGAGAAGCTAGTAGAAACAATTGAACAACACTGTGGAGAAGTGCCCTTATATGCCTTAGCGACATCATATTCCAACAGTTTGCAAGGTCAAACTGAGACATCGGCTGCTTCACGGCCGGACTCCTCCGAAGCCTGCACGATCTGTCTCTAAGACTTCTGAGACAGGTTCCAGGGGCATACTGGCAGCAGTTGAAGCATAGGCCATCGCTAGTAGGTTGGAGGCCATCGCTCTTAGGGTGGAGGCAATTCCTATTAGGTTGGAGGCCATCACTACTAGGTATATAGAGAAAAAAACTCTCCATTCAGTAAAAACGAAAAACGGCCTGCTCGCTCTGCTCGCCGTGCTCAACACTCTGATCTTCTTCTTGAGCATTTTTGTGCAAGGCCTTTCGCAAATTAGATGCCTGCGCAACGTGTAGGAAAGCTCAAACATGCGCCATTGCCATGGCTCCAACAGCATTAAAGCATTGGAAGTGCAAGCCCCACTTGCTTAAAAGGAAACCAAAGTCAAGTCACACAAAGCGCTTGTGGACAAACATCGCTTGCCTCGGTGAGAAGCTGGTGAACCTGCCAGCACGATAGCATACGATAGCCACGTGTGCGTCAGCTCTTCGACCGAGTCGCGTGGCCGACTTCGGTAGCTTAGTGGCCGACTCGACCCGTGGTCTACAGGGCAACACGGCCCCACGGACAAGAAAAACAAGGTGTTCATCACTATCTTCTTTTCGTTATTGCTTGGCCATTGCATGCCATTGCTATGAGGTTGAAGGCCAATTCCTAGTAGGATCATCACTATAAACACCCTAAACTGTTTGTCTTGCGTGACTTCGCCGACTGGTGTAACTCACCCGACCCGTCCTGTATCTCGTGCAACTCCTGCAGCCTGGCCAAGGTCGCTGCGAACTCTGACGGCCCACTCAGCGTTCGTGCTCCTCGGCCGCAAATCGGTGCAAGAACTACCTGCTTAGCTTTTATAAATTCTTTGGAAAGCTCTTCCTGAAAGCTTGTGCCACTGCTTGTGCCCTTAATTTACTTTTTGTGCCATTGGGTACTGGTAGCCTTTACTTCGAACCCGATTGAACTTTGAACCAGGGACGGTAGAGCAAAAGCTCATCAAGGACTAGCTGTAGCAAACCGGTCTGAGACAGGCTTGGTGTTTAAGTGAGCAACTTTGAAACAGGTTTTGTTTATGCTAGTAGCGTCCTTGCTTCTAGTAGTAAGGCCAGGAGCCCCTAGTAGCGTCCTTGCTCCTGCTGTGTGTGCGTTACACACCAGCAATTCCAAGTTGAACATAACTGAGGTGGACACGTGGACGCCCAGTTCCGAGCATACTTGTCGCCCTTGGCACGATTTGGAAAATGAAGGGGTACATCTTTTATGCTTCTGTTGGACATCTGGACACCTTACTAGTAGCTTCTTGTTACTAGTAGCGATGCCAGGAGCCCCTAGAAGCGTCCTGGCTCCTAGTAGTAAGACCAGGAGCCACTGGTAGCTTCTTGTTACTAGTCTCTTCTGAGAAGTCTTATCCTCCTCGTCTTTCCTCCTTGATTGCGTCCAAACTGCTGTCTCCGCAGCATCCTCACAGAAAACGGCACAGCTTGCCGCCAAATTGTCCAAGTTAAACTTAACTTAACTTAAAGACACAGTGCAAGACTCCCAACGGAACTAGCCAACTGTATACCCCAGTGCCTGGCGTCTAGAGCTTGGCAAACGGCTCGCAGCTGTAAACTACCGATATCTTTGGTATGAACTTGTTTCAGTTGAGCTTCAGTGCTGCATCGTGGATGTTGCTAGACTTCTTGCTGTATGTTGTTGATGCGACATGTTCTTCCACAATTGAGCCTGCAAAATTACAACAGCAATGCAGCCACGAACGGGGTTGGAGCAAGCAAAACAGCTTTGCATATTCATCATATTCCTACCAGCCGGTGTCTTTCTGCACCATATATCTATAGCCATTGAACCTGAACCCTTCGTCTTCTTCTGCAGGCGTGATGCTTTCCACCTCGGCTCGTATCACCGAAGTCTCTTTACACAAACAAGCTGCAGCAACATGAACAAAAGCATCGCTACTAGGAGCAAGGACGCTACTAGGGGCTCTTGGCTTACTACTAGGAACAAGAAGCTACTAGGAGCAAAGGGCATCGCTACTAGGAGCAAGGATGCTACTAGTAGCTCCTGGCATTACTACTAGTAGTAGCGTAATGTTTTTCCATTTTGGCAATCAAGTGCCTACAGAACATCTCTGAAGCCCCTCGCTGCAGTGTCATCAATACGTCGGCAACCCGTGACACGAGCCTTGCAGCCAAAGTTTCACACCGGTCACCCCCAAGAAACGCAAGGAACAAGTAGATCGTGCATAGCTAAGTAGAGTCATGCGAATCTGAGACTTTAGAATAGCCAAGCACAGTAGCAAGGATGCTACTACTGCAGTAGCAAGGTGCATCGCTACTAGTAACAAGTGCCTTACTACTAGGAACAAGACAGCTACTAGTAACAAGTGCATCGCTACTAGTAACAAGTGCCTTACTAGTAGTAACAATAAGCTATTAGAAACAAATGCCTTACTAGTAGTAACAATAAGCTATTAGAAACAAATGCCTTACTAGTAGTAACAATAAGCTATTAGAAACAAGTGCCTTACTAGTAGTAACAATAAGCTATTAGAAACACATGCCTTACTAGTAGTAACAATAAGCTATTAGAAACAAATTAAATTAAAAGCTTCTTGTTACTACTAGTAAGGCACCTGTTACTAGTAGCGTGGCACTTGTTACTAGTAGTTTTCTTTTCTTTTGAATTTCAGTTGCCGAGTGACCTGCGACTTCATGTGACGAATCTGAGTGCATGACGACGTCCTCTCGAATCTGAGGGACTTCCGCCTGAAGTGCCGCCCGTGGTATGATGCCTGACAGAAGCTTTCTTTGGCAAAAGCAAGCTGAACCGTAAAACATCGTAAAACTAGGGCCCACAAGCTAATAGCGATGGCCTCCAACCTAATAGCGAACACAAAAAGCAAACTTGTGCCAAACCCGTTGCTCTTAGGTTGGAGGCCATCCAACTGTGCCAAACCCTCTTCCACCTGTGGGGCAACAAACATGATCTCTTATGTTCCTTTGGAGGCCTTGGGAGCCTATGGGAACCTTAGTCTTGGCTGCCCTGAATTTTGCACCCCCCCTCAAATACAAGAAAGAGCGCCTCCTTAGAACATGAAGTTCCGTCAATATTTTTAACAAAAAACATCTATGGCTTCTATGAAGACTTCAAGGTTTCGATATAATGACGCTGACAGTTGACAAAATTCCGATTCTGATCTTTTCAATTCAGTGCCGTTGGACATTCAAGAATGGACCTGTGGTGCGGCCTTACTGCACTTTTCACGACTGTCCTTTTCTGCCATGTACCCGCAACATCTCGCATTCAATGTTTGCATTCAATGCAAACGGATACGAGTTGGGATCTTCAGACACAAAAAGGTGCCAACAGTAGCTGAAATAGTTTCAGCGTGTTTTTTTGGCTCTTCCAGTCTTACGCTGGGCCGAAACAACCAAAATTGAGATAGCTACATGGTAACCATACTGGGCCAGACTGGCATGAGCTGACAGTCCTAAACACTAAGTCTAATCTATGCAATGCTGCCTTCGCAAGCTCGCAGCAAAATCTGTATAAAGTGAATTAAGAGATAGAGGCATTGAGCCGCGGTCTACAGATGCACCAGCATCGCTGCACAAAAATGGGAAGGTGCTCAGCCAGAATTACGAAGTCATAAATCTAGTTGAATAAAAACAGTCCAACGCTTCTAGCTCATCCCTGACAGTGTCGTGGAAGAACATGCATGAGTACGAGACTAATACGTAACAATAACGCTTCTCCAAGAAGTAAGAAAAGCAAAAGGAAAGCAGCAAGCACAAAAAATAAAAGGGCATAGGAAAGAGCAAAAACAAAGAACACAATTGCAGCACCAGCATACATGCTGAAGAAGAACAGGGAATAGTGTGTCCAAAGAAATTGGGAAAACGCTCATGTTTGCTAATGGTATGGCCCTACTTGCAACCTTGAAAGCATGGCTGTGTTGATACAAGTCCACTTGGCGAGCACCAACTTCCATCAAAACCTGCATTCTCACTTCGGTGGCTGTGCTTCTGCATTCTACCACCACTGCCAGCGTTCACTGCTCTTTAGAGTGGGCTGGCAGCCTTGTCAAAGCGTCGATTCCGAAGACCGCATAGCATGGAATCGCTGTCATTGGGGGCACGCATGAGCCATGCAGAAAAAAGGCTGTTGCAATGCTGTGTTGCAGCAAAAGGTTCCAAACATGTTGTTCCAATGTGAATGCAGAACTTTGGAACCTTGCTTCTGATGCGCAGGCGCCTGCACCAAACTGCACGAGACTGCCTGCTGTCGATTTGGTCATAGAAGATATTGTCATATGCTTGCATCCCTGGCTTCAGCCCTGAGAGAGGCTTTCCTGTGCACAGTGGTCCGCTTTGCGCTTTGACAGTCTCTTTTTCAACGTGTTCATCGCTACTAGGAGCAAGGACGCTGCTAGGGGCTCCTGGCCTTACTACTAGTAACAAGAAGCTACGAACGGAGCAAGGGCATCGCTACGAACGGAGCAAGAAACTACTAGTAGCGTTCTTGTGGTAGCAAAGCTGCACTTAAGTCAAAATACCTAAACGCTTGCACTTCGGTACCGCGTTCTTGTTTGCGCACGGGGTACCGAAGGACTCACTAGCCGAGAATCTTCAGCTTCTTGCGCTTCTTGATCTCACCAGGGGGGCATAAGTGGCCTCAGCGCAGCTCCGCTTCGTCAGTCGTGAATGAATAAATCAAGCGCATTTCAGGTTGCGGCAACAGCCCTGCTTCTAAGGTTCTGTCAAAAGTTGCACGAGTTGTGCAAACGGCATCCGTCCGCCTTTGCGAAGAAATAGGCACAGGGCTTGCACGTGCCAGCTTTATGTTCCTATCCAGAAAGCAGTGCGAGGCAGCAAAAGACGACACTTCCATCCTTGAGAAATGTCACTATTAGGTTGCAGGTCATCACTATTAGGTTGGAGGCCATTGCTAGTACTATCTGATACTGATATCAGATATCACCAATATCGGCTATACCTGCTTGAGGGAAGGTATCGGACCCTGAGAGAAGCAACACTGCGCAGTTACAATGAAAGTGTTACACAAAGTCTTTGTTTTGACTCGACTCAAAAAGTTAAGTACACACTTTAAAAAAACATTTGCGTTTACTTGAAACGCAAAGCTTCTTGTTACTACTAGTAAGGCACCTGTTACTACTAGCGATGCACTTGTTACTAGTAGCTTCTTGTTACTACTAGTAAGGCACTTGTTACTAGTAGCGTGGCACTTGTTTCTACTAGCTTCTATTTTGCGAGTGGATCTTAATCAGCGAAGTTTGAAGCTATCACTGACGGTCCATAAGCGGCGTAGCGTCGGAACGGAAACCGCACCTTTTCTAGTCGCTTGATCCTTGAGCCAAAGTACATATGGTACATATATATGTACAAGTTGCACTGTACGTGTCGCTGCACTTCCATTCGCACCCCCCATGTGAACGGCAACAATATGTTCCGATCACACACGAAAATTTAGGGATGTAAGTGCTACAAAAGAAATTGTATGATTTGCCGCGAGACTCATATGAGGCTCATACTACGAAACATGCTGGACTAAAGCGGACTTTTACATATAAAGTGTGCAACTATGGCTCAGAACCTTTGAAAAAAAACGAATTGAACAAGTGAGACGGTCACGAGGCCTCGCTCAGTATCCACTCAAAAGAGCATCGCTTTGATGTAGATCCGAACTGGTGACTTCCACGTAGATGTCACATCGGCAACTGACTTCACACTTCTCAAAGATGTAGGTTTTTGGTTTGGATACACTTACAGAACGGCAAGTCGGAGAGACAGTCGGTGATTGTCTTCCTTCCATTATGCTCATGGTATCAAATCGTCAATCCGAATTTGCAACGATACACTTACAGCGTTTCAGGTCAGATAAACATCCGGTGAATGATTTCCTCCCTGGTTTGCATGGTATCCTCATAGTCGTTCAAAGAAATCACCACTGGCGATAACCTCTCCATCCACGATGATCCCAGCTGCCCTGGGCATCCCACCGATCATCTTCTCCCCTCTTGGACTTTCCCTTGGACTTGCTCTTTCCCTTCCCCTTTTCAGAAGGTTGAGGTACTTCGCGACGTTCTTGCGTTAGCGCCGGCCTCCAAGATGTTCCAGATTGGCCTCCTCCTTTGGAATGTCCTCGGGATGATGAAGAAGTTGTGCCTTCTGTTGATGAGGGCCCAAAACTCTTAGGTGCTGTTGAAGGTTTTGGCTCCTCACTTGGTGCTGACGACGGCTTGGCCTCGGTTCTGGGTGTAGATGCTGGCTTTGCCTCAGCTCTTGATGAAGATGCTGCTTTCGCTTCAGACTTAGTCGTTGATGTTGACTTAGCTGTTGCCTTGGCTGCCTGCTTCTTCTTGCCCTGAATCTCCTTGGCCCTATCTCCAAAGCCTAGACGATTGGTAAGAGCTTGAACATGCTTATGTTCTACCACGCTCATCCATCTCTCTGTATGTCCAACGTTGGGGTTTCTGGCCATTGACTCTATGACTTCCTGAGCTTGTGGGGGCAACCTGATCTCATGTTGATCAATGATCAACAGAATAGACTTCTCCCACTTGCTCTTCATTCTCGAGTACATGATGTCCAGAGGATCGATCACCTTGTGGTAGGGTGATGTAACGTCGGTTCTAAAGTAAGAATATGTCCGACACCCATAAATCGCATGGATGCACTTCTGTACCAATTCAGTCATTGCGCTGGCTTTCTTCGCTTTCAACTCCTCAAGCTGGGCATCAGTCAAGTTGGTGGGGTATTCGAAGTTGCCATATTCCTTCTTGAAGGATTGCGGAGTATGACCAAATGATAGGATCACGAGTGCCACCTTGCAAATGAATTGCTCTCCTCTGAATCGGTGCCAGGCCTCCTCAGTTGTAATATTGTTGTCGTTGGCAAAGATTAACATCATATCATCTGTTGGATCCAATGGTCTCCCATCGTCATCGATTTCAGTGGAATCCCCTGTACCGAACTTGCTTATCACATCCAGTCGCTTCCTTTTCCAATTTGCTTTGAAGTCGGTAAGGCTGGTGCAATAGTAGCTCTTGTACATCAGGGAGATCATGTTCAGCACACATTTGACCACATACCTATCCATCAAACCCGATGCATTCACGGAGACGTCCTGACAGTAGGCTCTCTCTTGATGCGCATAGATTCGAGGTTCCGGTACTCGACAATAGATGGGGAGATCTTCGTTGTCTCTTCCTTCTTCGGGATTGAACTCGGTCGCTCCATGCTGTGCATAGTATCCCGGTTCATCACGATCTGTCGGTCGATTCGCCTCCGGATGTAAGTCGTCGGTGACGTCTTCATCCTCGGGCTCACCATCTTGACGTTTCTTCCCCTCATATTGTTGTGCGCTCCTCTGGATCTCGATGATCACGTTTCGTTCGTCTTCATCTTCTAGATCAGAATCACGACCGTAGTCGATCTCGTCCTCATTGAAAGATGGGGTCTCGACATTGTCACTCTTGAAGTTTTCTGCGCCGTCAGACGGTTTGGAAGGATCTAGATTGTCCATGTCCTCGTCGTCGTCAGCTGCTTCAGTTTGAGCGATGTCTTCTTCCCAAGCCTTTCTGATCTCGTCCATAGTGGCCTGGTCCAATATATCTTGATCATCATCTTCAGGCTCCTTCTTTTCCTTCTTTTCCTCTTCATCGTCGCTCACAAGATCAACGGGTGAATCGGAAATGACAGTGTTGCGAATACCACACGAGAGTAGCCTGCCTTGACAAGATAGACACACGGACAAAGATGAAGAAGTCAA